CGTCTCCCAGCGACCTCTCTCTGGCCAAGGGAGCAAGCACTCCGACTCCCACTCCGAGGGCCGGGGTTCGGTACCGGGCCGGGCCGGCGGCAGCTGCCCGGCCGATTCGAATGTTTTCATTTTCATCTCTTGCAGAGGATTGTCTGAAGGTTGTCTGAGGCGCCAAAGTCTGGTAACGCATTGCCAATCCGCAGACAAACGGCAGTCAATTCTCAGTCTAACTGGGCTGAGGATCGACTGCCGATAGACTGCGGTCTGACTGTGGTTTGTCTGACGTTTGTTTGCCGATTGTCGATGAGGATGGTCAGCCGTTTGGCTACCGATAGACTGACGATTGACTGACGATGACCTGCCGTTTAACTACGCTTTACCTACCAATAAACCGTCACCGTCGACAAAGATTCAGACAACATTCAGGCTATTACTTTGCCTCGGGATAGTTTAAATCAAAAAACGCAAAAATGTCGTCACTTGACTGCTCATTTAAACCGAAAATTACGTGTGCAACAGACAAAAACACAATTAATTCTTTAAAGTATCGTGAAAAGACAATGCTCTTTTGGCACTATTTATTGCAAATTGTGCCTTAACTAGCCATGATTCGCAGTAAGGAGTTTTTGGACACGGGAGTACAACAATAATGGATGACACCGTTCGTCGATTTCAAATTACGTTAAGCGTCGTAATTTCGGAAATAATGCATTTTCCATTGTGGCGGAGACTTTTTGTAATGGTCTTCCGGACTTTCTCGTGGAGTGCATTCGTTGATACCGAGATAAGGGGTTGCAAAAGGGGGGGGGGGGGTGTTGGGGGTGCAGGGGTTTGACGGGGCGCAAGACAGTAATTCTGTCAAGCTCTCACAGCTAAAAAAAGAAAAAGAGAACAGGTGTACAGGAAATCTGCCGTTGTCAAGACAATAACAAGTGGAAACCACATATCCAGGACGATTAGAAGTCAAATAAAAGTTTTGCGAGATTACATATCACCATGGCGGATTTGAGGATGGCAAACATGTTCTCCGACAATGAGGAGCGCAACAGCTCCGCAAAGTTTACGACATTGTCTTGTGTGTTCACGCTCGAAGTGATTAGAAGCGCCCACTACCCGGACTCATATCTCTTCTAGACAAAGTAAAGGGATTTAGTGGAAGCCGATGAGGAGGAAAAAAATCAGAGATTAGGAGTGATCTGCGTCAAACTGCACATGTTTGACGACATTGAATCTCACGACACCTATCAACATCTCCAATATGCAACTTCGACTAAAACGGCCTCTTTTTTTGCAGACGCATTGGCTTTCGGGTGGAAAGTTGAGCACTGGATAAAAAGACGCAGAAAAAGATGCAAAGCGACAATGCTGCCTTCCAATACGATCCGGTGAGTAAATACAACAACTCTGCAGAAAAGAAACGGCGAGAATTTCTTTTGAAGGCGCCGGGAGTGCGTGCAGAACAGCGACGGGCTTCTCGGAATCACGTGAGCGGAGTGTGACGCCCCTCACGCCGGCCGGCCCGCGAAGCCCCGCCGACTGCGGCCTCCCGCGCGCAGAGCCTTGCATCGGCGGGAAGGCCCAAAGGCACCAGTTTGCAACCAGCGCTCTCGCTCTACGATATTGGTTCACTAAGAGTGCTCGGGAAAACAATTTTCTAATCAGCACTCCTCTCTAGCGCGAGGTTTGCTCCCGCGTGCGTGCAAGTCTCCAATTAATGTGCATACAATAAGTCAATTTAAAATCAAGATCATCAGTAATTAACACTTGCACTTGTAAATAACTAACCAAAACATTGTTGTTGTTGTATATTTATTCCCCACTGTCGATCGATTAAAAAAAAGTCAGATTCCGTCAAATTGGTGCGAGTGTTTGGATTGCGATGGCGAAGTAGAATAGCGTTTATTTACGTCAGCGAAATCAAATGCCTTCCTGAAATTGCCATTCTTATAACCAGCCTTTATCGCATCACATTAAAAGCGGCACGCCTGTCTCGCGCGGCCACGCCCCGAGCGCCAATTAGCTCCGTTTTGTTCCGTCTTCACCTCACCGCATCTCGCGTAGTTCGTTTTCTTTCCAGTTTTCCCCTTTCTTTCGACAAGTTTTGAAGTGCGGGCTCAAAAGACAGCGCGCTTCACTGCCACGCGTGTCCTCTGCGGACTGCACTCGGAAAAATCGACGTCGATTTCTTATCTCCGTAGAATATGTATTTGTTCCAAAGAACATCCCGGGAAAACGTTCCTAATGCTGATGAGTTTCGGTAGGCGAGTGATATCACGCAATGATTGTTAAGGCAGTCTCTCACCGCGCCATTTCGGCCGTTTCCCAATGAATGACGGGGGCGAGAGAGAGGGACAGCGGGGAGAGGGGGG